GCCTCCTTCCTACTAGCCTGAAAAGGAAACAGACTGATGTAAAAGACTGTGTTCATGTAATTTGCAGGGATGGAGATAAAAACAAGATAGTTGGTACTAGGAGGTCCCTGCTAGAGTCCTGTGCCTGTGGCATATTAATAGAAATCTCTCCAGAGGAGCAGAGCGGGTAGTATCTGTTTACGGTGGAGGGATTAGACACGGCAATCTCAATTGCTTTCTTGGTTATGTCTTTTTCCATTTGTATGCAATGCAGGGGCCAGGCTTCGCTGTCGGAGGCACCTCTGAAGCAGCTCTGTCCTTGATGGCACCGAGCTGTGGGCTGCACGACACACTTTGCATACGCTGTAAAACCCATGTTCTCTTCTTCACTTGTTCCCCTATAGCACTTAGAAAAAGAAATGGGGTTTGCAAGCTGTCAACCTGGATAGATGCCAGCCTGGATGCATTAAATAGGTGTTTAGGCATGCAACCTCTCCAAGTCTGAGGTGGTAGCAGCAAATTTCAAAGCTAAATACAAGGCAATAATGACTGGTCAGAGTTTAGTTCAATCTGTACCAATTAGACTGCCACAAAATAAAATGAGATCTAGGTTGAAGCATACTGAGTAATGAGACTGGAGTCTTTGCCTCAGCTGTTAATGTTGAGCATTGAAATACCTGGTAGGATCTTCCCTTGCTAATAAAGTAAGAACAAGATCAATAGCTACACAGCTCACTCCTGAAGCACCACTTATTTCCTTCTAATATGAGGGAGCTGTATTTAATCTAGGGAAGGATGCTCCCTCTGTCACAGGCTTGCTTCTGTTCATGCACCACCACCGATAGGCCTTTCTGTCATATCCTTGGAGATAAAATGTGGTTATTTGAGTAACAGTTTCAGCCATGGAAAAGCTCCTGTAGTTTCTGAAAACTAGAATAAAATGGGTATAAGTATTTCCAACTAAAGTCAGCCAAAAGCCTAAAGTAAATTGCAGTTCCAGTCAGTCAATTTGAAACTCTCCAAATTTAATTAATGGGAAGAGCATGAGGTAATATTAAATTAGGTTTGTCTGACTGGCAAATTAATGTTCACATAATAAAAAATTTGAGTTGATTATTGGCTAAGTGGGTAGCTGGCATCCAGTCTGATTTTTCTTCTCCACACGACATGTGGTAGGTCCCTACCAAAAATGATTCTGTGGAAATGATGGTTCAATTTCTGCCCTTACCTACCAGCCTGGGAAATATGGAGTTAAAGCAAACTCTAATCCACTGTGTTGAATATTCTCAGGTGAAAGAAGATGCATTCCTACATCTGAGCACTGTCAAGGGTGTTCTCTAACCAAGGCTGTGTTTTGCCTGCATAGTTCTCAGGTCAACCCTCTCTCATGGGGATGAATTTGGCCCCTTATGCATTATGAGCAGGCTGTACTTCCCAGAGACATGCCCTACCAAATATATGGACTATCTAGAAAAGTTCATGCTGAGAATGTGTTTCATATCAAGCCTAATTTTAATACGTTGCCATTTCAATTTATTTTTAATGTTGTAAACTTCCAAGTAATTAAAAAAAATGAATCTTATACTTGGCAAAAATCATAATTTTGTATAGCCGTTCAAACTGAAGCTATCCAACATGAGTTGAATTCTGTTGCATCAGTTGGATTCTGCTCTATCAGCGACTAATGATAGTGTTTCTTAATTAATTTTGAGGACCTTGACCTTTCTAAATTCTCTTCTGTAAAGCAATATGCCTAATTATGTACTGCATAGTTAAACAAACTAATTATATAGACTAATGAACAAGAAAAATCTCCATGACCCTATTTTCAGGATTCATGTTCTCTGGTATAATCACTTCAAGGATTACATTTCTGCTTTGTTCTAATGTGGCTCATTCTGTCTTGGATGATATAGTGGAAAATATGTGGCATGATTTTACATGTCATTTTGATGGAGTTCTGAAAATTTAACTTTTTAAGGAAATACTGCACGTCATAGACATGTTTGAAAAAAAAAAAAGATTATTATATGCTACTGCTCTCAAACAGAACCACAGAAAGTTGAGACCATCATGGCATTTGTTATCTCTGCCTTCAGATTTCACCTGTGCAAGAGATGATGGCTAACTGAATTAGCAGTGCAGATTTATAAAACCATTTATACATCTAAATGCAATAAAAATAAATTTTAATTAAAAGAAACACCCTAGGGTCCTGTTTAATTAGCATCCACAGTAGCTGTTTTGCTGTGTACTTGCAGACCTCTTAATCTTTTGCATCAGACCTGAATTGCTCACACCACCAAATTAGTAGCGGCTGAGACAGGTGATGTTATTTTCTGTGCAGGTCTGTCTGCCCGGCAGCAGTGTTGGGTGCCCACCACCTATGGAAAGGGGTGCCAGCCCCAGCCACATGTGAGAACGATGCACTTTGATGGTTAGCACTGTCCAAGCCAGAACACCCTTCCTCAAACCGGGAGTTGTCATTTTTTTTTAATAGATCCATCCTCTCCTCCAACAAGGCTGCTGTGTCTGGACAAAACCAGCTAGCATTCATTTAAGGGTATAGTTTCAATTTACTCTGAAGCAAACTCTTTGTGCTAGGTTTGCCACCCAAGAGATTTGCAAAAGGAAAGGGCATTCCCTGACCAAAAGTGTCTTTCTGGGGTCTGGTTACCCAAATGCAGCAGTCAGAAGCTTAGGGATATCTTGAGCAAAGTTTGCATCCAGACTATCATGTTGAAGAGCCACCAGTGGACCAATTGTCCATGAATTTGCCTAAAACAATGAGCTGAGGATAAATGGGTCTCAAATCTTCCTTTGTGTATCTATCTCAACTATTTTTCTCTGTTCCAGGATTCGGCCTTGCTCTCAACCTCCAGCCATCAGTGATAATCATAGGGAAATACTTTTTAAAGAGAAGACCGATTGCAAATGGCCTTGCTATGGCGGGGAGCCCCGTGATGCTTTGCACCCTGGCTCCTCTCAACCAGTTCCTTTTCGACAATTTTGGCTGGAGGGGCAGCTTTTTAATTCTTGGGGCAATTTTATTAAACTGCTGTGTGGCAGGAGCCCTCTTCAGACCCATTGGGGCATCCACAGCATCAGTCAAAACCCAGGTGACTGAGGAAGGGAAGGGTGCTCTGAAAGAAGAGGTCACTAAGGATGCCGTGGAAATGAGTAGTCCCATGGACGTCCCCATAGAGACCAAAATGCAAGAGGAAGGAGGAAAGGACTGTTGCGAAAAAATCAATCAGTACCTTGATTTTTCCCTCTTTAAGCACAGAGGGTTCTTGATTTACCTGATCGGAAATGTGCTCATGTTCCTTGGATTTTTTGCCCCCATTGTTTTTCTGGCACCCTATGCAAAGCACATCGGCATTGATGAATATTCAGCTGCTTTCCTCCTTTCAATCCTTGCTATCGTGGATATGATTGCCCGACCTACCACTGGTATCATTGCAAACAGCAAGTGGGTGAGGCCGCGGATTCAATACTTTTTCAGCTTCTCCATTGCTTTCAATGGTGCCTGCCACCTTCTGTGCCCACTGGCTTCTGGCTACATGGGGCTTGTCATTTACTCCATCTTTTTCGGCTTGGCCTTTGGCATGGTTTGTGCCATGCTTTTTGAAACGCTCATGGACCTTGTGGGAGCTGCCCGGTTCACAAGCGCTGTTGGCCTGGTCACCATTGCGGAGTGCTGCACGATATTGCTGGGACCACCTATTGGAGGTGAGTGTATTTTCCTCCTCTGCTTCTACTGGCTTGTCACTTAGATTTAGCCTCTTGCAAGCAGAGTTTGTAGGAAATGATTCTAAATGTGTTTTGTTTGCTTCCCACCAACTGTTTTTCCACTAGTAATTGGACAGGGAAGGCAGATCCCAGATGTCTCCTCCAGCATTTCTTTTTTACTCCTTCCTGTGTAGTCCTCCAGTTGAAGTCAAGAGTTTGTAGAATGATCTTTTAGTCCCTGATCCCTTCAAACACTTGAACTGAACTTGCAGAATGGGACTCCCTGCAACACCAAGGACCTTGCACTTCAGACAACTCCTCCTGGAGACTCCTCCTGTTGCAAAAGGCTGGAGTCCCCCACAATTTAAGCACAGTCAAACACAGCAGTTCTATGAAATCCTCTTGTCGACTCAAACCTAGTATTCGCTATTTGTCTCTAAGGCTCTGAGTACTTCCACTTATGGATTTCAGTCATCTCAGAGCATCTGATAGATTTAAGGCTGTTCCAAAAATAAAAAAAAACATCTATTTTGGATGGCATGGTTTGAAATATTGAAAGACAGAGACACTCAGTGTCCATGCTGACAATATTGAACCTCCAGCAGGACTTACAGTCATCTGAAGATAAATGGGAGCAGTGATCTCCTGTGATTTTAACAGCCTCCGCTTCTTTCCCCCTATTAGCATGTGCTCACTTCTTTTTCTACAAGGAACACACCATGTCTGGAGGACACCATATCTGAATCTGGCATTTGGCTCAAGTAGAGTCCTTACCAAACCTGAGTTGGCTATGAGTTAAATGACTTTATAGGTGACATTCTCTCAGTGTGTAGACACCATCCTATCTATGTGCCCTGTTCTGCAATTTGCATTTCACCTGTATGCAAGCTTGAATAACTGGTTTGGAAACTGGTCACCTTTAAGCATGCTAAAATGTTTAATTAGGTTGTGTGTGCTGTCTGTATTTGGATGTATAAAAGTTAAACTCTGCTAATTCTTTTGATATGACAGTATCATAACAAATGTAAAGAATGCACGGAAAGAAGGCAGTGTAAACCCATTTCCTGGATTCAAAACTGAGATCTGGCTAATAATCTGTGTGACACATCTTGCAGAGATGTTTAATTCTTCATATTACCATGTAGCTCATACAGTGTGAACAGAAGCAGCTGTATGGTCTTGCTGTCTTAGAGATTCATTATTTTATTAATGACAAACAAAAGAAAATACAATTTTAAAATGACCATTTTCTGAATTATATAATTTTCTGTGCGGAAGATTAAGTTAATGACCAGAGTCTGCTAATGAGGCTAAAACAGTTCTATGTAATAATCAGTAATATTAGTTTTGTAGGGTTTTCCCCACCATTTTAATAAGCAGCAAATTTATTGGTTCTTTGGCATTTTAATAACCTACTGCAGGGTTCTGCTTTAATGAACTAAGTAAATTGTTCCCCGTGTGTTTTATGACTTTGTCTTATTCTCAAAGGAAAAGAGGCAAGACTATCCTACTGTTGAATTTTCCAATAGTTTACTCATTAAAACTCTCATTGAAACCTATTTAGGAGACCTCTAGGTCATCCTGATTAGCAGAAAAGGAAAAAATTTTGCAATTAGCATTTGGTTGATGTGTCACCAGTAACATGAAAACACAATGCATTGAAAATGGTGTAACAAGACATCTAGGGATGATTCAGGAAGAACCGTTGACCAAAACCAGTTAAAAATTATTATTTTTCTGATCAAGAAATCTATTTGGTGGCCATAAAATCCCTTGTTAGTGTAATGCAGTGGGATAATTAATCATCAGCTTTTCACTATTAGGGGTCAGTCAGGAAGTAATTAAAGGTCCCTCCTTTTAAGGAGGAGAACATATTCCAAAAAGTCAGAGAGCTAATGGATGATGGGCCAGTTTCAAGGAGAACTATCTGTACTGTGAAGGCCAGGTTAGGAGTGGGTCTTACTTTAAATAGGATTTGGGATGTTAAGAATGGCTTGTGTTGCGCCAGTAAATGGGAATTAATGCTCAGGATCATAATCCCAATAAGATTTGCATTACATTTTGACATAACGGAGAACACTGACATTTCAATTAAGCCGTCTCCCTTCAATTACTCTGGAACTCCGTAGCAGAGGCATTAACCTTTGAGAGGAACCTGTCACATTTGTCTTGGCATTGAAATTATCCGACATTGACAGCATCATTTTTGCTTTCCCTGGAACTAATGTTTTCCAGTTCCACGCAGTGCCCTTTCATCTTTAGATCATGAGTATAAATGCAGAAAGGGCAGCTGTGACCAAAAGCTGAGTCCCCTCTTAATGCTGGTGAATGACCCGCGGTGGAATAAATTGGAGGGTCTCTGTCAAGAGTCTGAGATGAGACCCAGTGGCCAGGTGCCATCTCACAAAGGTCTCCGGAAAGCTGCCGCTTTTGTTGGCAGCCTGAGGACTACCAAGTGAAACGGACATCCTTGTAGGTGATCACTGGAGTCAATGGAAAGACTGTCTGCAGACTCTGATCAGAGGACTTAGTTTCTGCATGGGAAAAATAGGTGTGCCTGAAAAGTCCAGGCTTTGAAATGTAGGTTCTCTGTCCCCTTCTGCTTAACTGTGCAAATTATTGGTAGTATTAACTATATCCACATTAACTACGAGTGTTAATGTGTGAAATATGTGCAGGATCAGAGTATTTGTGGAAGCGATCAGAAGTCCAGAGAATGTCTTATTTTATCCTAAAGCCCCTAGGGTGTCCCTTTATATTTAGGATATGAAAACACAATATTCTTGCCTTCATCTCTAAGTTTCTTTTCTTTTTTTTTTTTTTTTAAATATATGTTTTACAGGCACTCTTATTGATACCTTTGGGGACTATAAATACATGTTCATTAAATGTGGAGCTGTGATGGTCCTGGCAGGAACCTTCCTGTTCATCATGAATTATTATAATTATCGTGTGCTTGCCAAGGAGGAGAAGGAAAGAAAGGCAAAGGAAGAGGACCCTAAATCTGTAAGGACAGCAAATGAAGGCAGAAATAACTGGAACAAAGAAACCATACAGGATGGGCCTGAGCTGGAACCTTTGAGGGAGGAACAAGAAGGACTAAAGAAGGAAGTGAATGGCACAAATGAAGTTTAAACCTGTTCTTATGGGCTGAATGGGAGATTACTTCTGGGTTGCTCAAGTTGACACTAGCTGTGAAATCACACCAGGTTTTTAAATTTTGCCCTATGCTGTGCCATGTGCATCCTCCTCTTTCTTGTAGGAGAAGACTAGAACAGAATTAAGTCTAGTTTTTTATAAAGTGCTGGGACACACAGTGCAGTATCCATTTGCATACCAAAGGTCCTGCAACCTTTTTCTTCAGGTATTTCCCATTTTCCAGAGGGGCTGAGTAAGGGTGCAACTGACACCCCGCTTTTATACTGTGTACTACTCAGTGAAAAGGCCAATGGCCATCAGAGTCAATGCAGAGCCCTTCCAGCAGTCTGAATGGGCTTTGCATTGAGTACTGTGGTGGCCGGATCTTCTCACCATGCAGTCAAAACCGACTCTCTTTGACTGCAGTGTCAGAATTATCCCAGGGATTTGGTGCTGCCTTCCGCTGGCAGCTGCACTGTGACTTGCAACTCTGTCTCATGGAAATGTAAAATAGACTTTACTCTCATCTTAAATACAACATGAGAGAGCTGCTTGAACAGAATGAGGGCAGTACATGCCTGTGTGTGAAGTGGCAGCAAGGCAGCCTGTCGTCATGGCCGGAGCATGCTAGGAAGGAACTAACTTGGGGTGGCTCCTCGTGGCTTGACCAGGGACTTTCTCAGGGATCTCTGCATTTAGCAAAATGCTTTGAGAAAGGTGGTGTTATGCAGAGACCAGCACAATGCCAACATGCTACAGGAGTCCTTCTTCCAGGTCCTTTCTCTGTGCAGGGCAGAAACTTAGTCTTAAAGGGCTTAAACTTTGGTCTATATATGAACAGTGCAAATTCTTTAAAATTTTCCCTAGGAAGTTACACAGTCCTTATTATCCAATATCTTAGTGCCTTACCATTTTTAGCATGCTTTTTCTTTACAACACCCTGGTGAGGCAGTAAGTGTTGTTACTATTAATTAATTGTATAAATGAAGAACTGAAGCACAGAGGAGCTATGGGCATCATTGCTTCAGTGAATAAAGCTTAGGCATGCCATAGCTGAAATGGGATCCGCTGCCCTGAGTTAGGTGCCTGAAAGCCCTGCTCCCCCTGCTAGAAAATAGGAAATACCATGAATAGTCATGCATTAAACTACAGCCCTCTCTGCAGCGCAGCCTGCTTACTTTGTGCTTCATACTACTCAGGATTAATGATTTTAAACACTGTCTTAGAGCTGGGACCTTGTGCCATATTTTTTTAACTTGGTGAAATTGCATCCATCCTGGAGGGAATCCAAACACAGCTGCCCCCTGCCTTGTTTGGGCTGGGTTAGGCACCTCCCTGTTGCTAGCACTGCAATACCTGGTGGCATCATGCCATCCTGTTGTATGAGGTCAGTGATGCAGAGCTGGAGCTGAAGCCGCGGAGGAGGCTCTCATCCAGTGATGATAATTTTGAGCTGGGAAGATCTGGACTCTGACAGCAAAGACTGATGTATAAGAAGCAGCTGTTGCCTGAGAGCCATGGATGCTGAGCATGGCATCATGTAGTTGAATCATCTGCCTTTTGTGGATTTAGCTCCAAGTGACTGGATAAAAACAAGGACTTTTGAGGCAGATCACCCAAATCCAAAGCTAACACCAGTCCGTAGGCTAGGTCTCCTCTTTCTTTGCTTCAGTGGCACCCTTATGTGATCAGATAAATTTTTTTTCATGACTTTGTCACTGAAGAACTGTATTTAATTATCACTTTTATACACACTATGAAGAATGGCTTGTAAAAATACTTCCATAAATATACTATACTCTTAAATTTAGATCACTCGTATCTTCTTGTACAAAATCTTTTCTGTGAAATCTTTTGTTCCACTAAAGAATAATGGTCTTTTGCCATTGACTTCAGTAGGACTTAAATTTTATCCTTATGTAGTATCTTGCATTTTCTCTGAAAAAACAAAATCTATACAATATACTTAGGCTTTTGTTGCTGTGTTTTTAATATTCTTTATTTCTGTCAAATATTTCTATGGTATTTTGGTAAAAAAGGCATTGACAGAAGGTCCTGAATATTTTCCAATATGCCTTCTGGAAGGTTTAATATACTTAATAAAACTCTTTTAAAAAAATGAAATTAGTTTACATTGCCCGTTGTGATCTGTAGGGTAATGCTGCCTTTCTGTTCAGTAAAGAATTTGTCCTCATAGGGTTTCTCATCCTGGCTCCATGTACATGGTAGTACAACTCTTGGTCATAGCCTCTTGTTCCAGGACCACCACTGGGATCTCCTTGCCACACAGTTTCTTTGACATTTTCAGTGATCTGGGCCAGCCTGACTCACACCTCCAGTAGCGTGGGCTCATAATGAGTCTGAAAGCAGCTGAGAATGACCTGGCAAGGATCTGACAATATGATTTTCATACCTTCCCACCAAGTCGTATCAATTAATTCTAGGAACAATGACCCAGATCCTCAGCTGTCCTTACTGCAGGAGCTGATGGGGGTCTTTGTCTAGCAGAAACCTAAAGCAAGCTTTTTCGATCATAAACTTTCTTAATACAGATAACATTTTCAATAGAAAGGCTTTTTGTTCAGCTATCTGTGAAAATCCTCTGGAAAAGCTACACCTTTGTTAACCTGTCCCTGAGGGCAAAAAATGCTACATTGGGTAAGTAGTTCTTTATGGCTTCAGAAGTCCTTTAACATTAAGCAGCTACTTCATTTAACCTACTCAATCCTCCTGTCATAGGAACAGATACTTTTAAGATTATGGCACTATTTCTATCACATAGGAAGCCAGACTGTTGGTTGTCAGTGGTGGGTGGCCTGCCTCTTCCCTGTTACCCGGCCTCCTGTCGCCACTGGGGGTTCAAATCACATCTCATTAATCAATGCAGCAAAGCAATGCCAAATAACTCTGTACTTTTAAGCGTGTGAGTAGCCCTAGAAATGCTTCGCTGAATCAAATCGTGTGAATTCCAACACCTTGCAGGCTCAAGCTGTAATCCAGCCTTGGAAAACTCTAAAACTTTCTTAAGAACATTTTCAGTTATTAAAAATGACTGCTGCGATATGGAATAGCCATTAGAAAAAGCTCTTGTGGAGGAGTAGAAGCTGCCTGTGGGTCTAACTTAGCAATTTGTGTGGCAAATTGAACGTAATATTCATATTTACATGCATGCTTAAGTCTGGAACGCACCTGTGTAGGAAAGTCAAGAGGTGTGTGTTGTACCATAAACATGTGTACTAGGCACATAGGACATGTTTGGAATATCAGATGTGCAAGGATGATTGCTAACACTTTCATTGGAATGCAATTATTAGACGTCTTTTATACTTCATTAGCTTCTGACCTTATTAGAAGCAATCGCCCATTGTTTCCAGGGTTGCTTGAACTCGTACAAGAGCCTGATTTTGATGCTGAACCATCGTTCCCAACAAACACAAAAGAAGCCAACAGTCCAGGCAGCAACACAGCACTCCCTGCAGCCACAGTCTGCTGGTGAGGCACGAGTGGAGTTTGATGGGGTGGTGTGACAAGTACCATGCATTGGATTTAGATTTATCCCACATACTCATTTCTTATTTATAGTTCCCCTCATTTTTTTCCCTCCCTGTATTTAGCTCTCCAAATTTAAAGGCATGGAGGAGGAATTGAAATATTTCAACACTTACTCTGAAGTGGCAAAATTTGTACACCTTCCTATCGCCCTTTTTAACATAATGATAAAGCAGTAACTGTGCCACATGGTGGAGTGCCACACTACTAGGAGGGGACATTTTCTGCCATTGCGCATTGTTCCAGATGCTCCTTTGCCACACATAGCATTGCCCTGGCCTGGGAAAGGAGCAACACAGGCTGCCCGAGAGCAGGGCTGACAAGCAAGGCTGGGGGACACAGTTCTGCAAGGTCAGCTGCAGATTTGAGCTCATCGCAAAGAAGAGCTTTAGTGCTTTTTATTTTGTACTGTTCATGGAAACGTTCTTCAGTGGGGTGATAGCCAAGAGGACATCAGTACCCAGCACTTAAGGAACAGAGTGTAAAACCAGGCTGTCTTGTTAAGTGAGCACAGGAGGCTGCAGTTTTCAGTCTTATAACCATCACTGGTGTGAATTTATGCTGCTCTGGGCAGTCCTCCACATTCGGCACACAGAGGAGCTCATGGCTGCGAAGGGGAAGGATGTTCACTGGCAATATGGGCAGCAATAGAGCAAAAATACGATTCACCTCCTTTTAATAAAATGACTGAACCATGTGCAGAAAGTGCAAAACACATGAGGAGACCAGAGAAATCTGGAGCCATGAATGAGTAGAGGTAACTTGGCAGTAACTTTGTTAAATACAAGCAAACAAACAAACAAAAAAAAATGAAGTGCTAGCCTATGTGTTTGAAATATGCAATCATTTTAGACAACACAAGAGATTATTCAGAAGGACAGTTGCTGTGGCAGCTGACACCAAATTTATTTGGCTGCACTCAGAAAACGCCTAGTAGACAATACAGGTGCATTCAGATTACATTGAGGAATGAATTTAAACGATGACTTCCATGCCCTCTGCGGCGACAGTGACATTGACTATAAAATAGTACTACTTAGACTTATCAGAACCGTGTGAGGGTGTTTTGATGAGTGACATTCATAACTGTCAGCAAAGCTTCCCATAATGGCAGTGCTGCTCCGAAACAAAGACTCGGTTTGCTGTCTGCTTCAGCGCTCACTGAAGTATTGCTATGCTTTTGTTTGTGTTTGCGGAGAGGCTCATTTACATTCTGACACCAAAAATATGAACAAATATAGGTAAATGGCATCTTCTGTGTCACCACGGTCATGACCGTGCTATCACAGGTAATGGAATCATATAATTCCCTTTTAAAAAACATAAACCCCATTGTCCTGCAGAGCCAAGCACCTGTCAAGGTGTGACCCTGCTGTGACATTTGTGCCTGCAACTTCGGTGTGTCTGCAGAGGGTGAATCTCTACGTGTTCGACAGCGCGGGCGTTTT